GTAGTAGTAGTAGTAGATACAGTAGTAGTAGCAGCAGATCCAGTAGTAGTAGCAGCCGATACAGTAGTATTAGCAGCAAATACAGTAGTAGTAGCAGCAGATACAGTAGTAGTAGCAGATACAGTAGTAGTAGCAGCAGATACAGTAGTAGTAGCAGCAAATACAGTAGTAGTAGCAGATACAGTAGTAGTAGTAGATGCAGTAGTAATAGTAGGTAACTGATTCATTTGTTCTTTTTATTTATCAGTTCCCCCAATAATTGGGAAGATAATGCATTTTGATCATCCAAGACGATTAGATATCCCTTTGTCAAAGCCTCAGACCCCCCGCTGGCAGTATTACGAGTCATTCACAGCGACGGCATTCGATTTGAATGGAACTCTAGTTGTAAGGTCAAAAACAATAAAAAAGAATGAATATTGGGTTGTGCATAACAACCTTCAACCATTGACCAACTATTGTATTAAGGCATATACAACATCCTCAAATGGAGATGGTGACTATACGGCTTCCTGTGTGTATTCCGACACAAGAGATGGTAAGCCAATACAAATACAGTAAACAAGTCTCTCCCTGTTGAATCTCGAGTGAAATCCAAAACAAAACGAACGTTTCGAAGACATAAACCGTGAGAATGGCTGGGGAGACTTGTAAAACTGTTGAACTCATCAATATTCATTAAATTTGTCCTTCGCTGAAAAGCGACTAGATTTTCAGCGCGTGTGCACCTTGTGTTACTATTACATTGGGTATTACATTGTATCGGGTATATAGATTCGAGTCACAGATTCTTTGAGTAAATGACTTTGCAAACTTCGTTGCGGTAATATTTTCACGCCAACATGAAATGAGTACCGTTAAATCTGTCGTGGTGGAAATATAAATACTCTTAATGAAAGATCGTCGGTCGTTTCTCTTTTTTTCAGTTCCTTCCCAGGCACCAACAAACCTATCAGCCCATTTGGTGAACGCTACCCAAATAAGTGCTTCATGGAACCCCATCAACATGTCATACCCAGTTATGTATGGAATGCCATTTAAGTACTATCGAGTTTACGCTGTTCAATATGGAACTAATAAGCAACAGTTACAAAAAACATCTCAGACATCCGCCATGATTTCAAACCTATTGTACTATACGACGTACTGTATCAAAGTGGCGGCCTACAGTACATTGGGAAGAGGGAAATTAACTGATGGTTGTCTGGTCAATGTAACAACGATGGGCGGAGGTAAGGATTGCGGCAATCCGGTTGGTCATTAAGTAAAATGATGGAAATTTACATGAGCATGCGCTAAAACCGCTGGTACACGTCTGCAAATTACAGATGCAACGATTTTGACACTTGAGTACAGAAAAGACACATTGAGATTAATTATAAAATACACAAATTATAGTAATATTATAAGTAAGTGCACAACCTACAGATTATTATATTCTTTATTAGGCTATWCTTAGAACAAATTTAAAACAATTTGGTATTGAAACGAGAAAATTGTCAATCGTAATGAACTCCGGGATCGGTGATAGCTGCGTGATACATGTACAGAAGAAACGTCACTCGTCTTTTGAAGACTAAAGCTGTGGAATTAATATTCATTGAAGCTTCCACGTTACGATCAGCAGCAAAGACACTTCTAGCGTGCATTTGTACAAAATATTGGGGCAAAATTTAAATACCGAAAGCACCGCGACAATATTAACTTGATATACACCTGACTTCAACGAACGAGCAACTGACGCATGCGCACACAAAACTCTCTCATGCTTTATTAAGCACGCCTTCAGTGTTTATAGATATCTGATGATATTTTCTGATTCCATTATTCCATCCACATTCATCATTGGATGTTGTATGTTTACAGTTCCCAAGTCGTTTCCCAGCCCTGTGTCGATACTCAACGTTTCTGGTGACTCAATTGACGTGTCGTGGGAAAGACCATCTCTCGACAAACTTGGCGACAATGAAACTGAATTTAAATTATACATCAACCACAGTTTAGCTATTTTAAATGCATCAAATGCATTCAATACATCCATAACTTCCAATACAAACTGGTCTTTCATCAATCTTCAACCAATGACATCGTATGTTATTATGATCTCGGCTGTCAATCAACATGGTGAGGGGCCTCGAAGTGATTGGTATAATGTAACGACCAGAGAGAATGGTAAGCAATAATCTATAAAAAAACAACTATCGGCTGTGGTGCGGTAATAAAAGGTTATTAACCGAGCATAAGGTTTTATTGGAAAATATCAAACCGACGTCTTTCGACAGTAAAAGACCGCTGGACTTCCATTTTTGCTTTTTTCCCCAGTAAACGATCTAAGAGAGGAGCCATTTGATTAGGCAAATAGGACGAGATTCATTCGCACCAACACACCGCAGTTAGAATAACTTCGGCTTTTGTTTTGAGTAGTTGTTCTAGACATATGCTTTTTGCTCTTTTTGAGCTTTAACATCTTGAAATTGATTTTTTCTTCCAGTATAATCCTTTTTGAGCTCAGCTCTCTTTAAATGATTGTGAATGCTTATGGATTGATACCATTTAATTGCACTGAAAACAACTGAGGTTAACTCGGAAAAGAGCGGGAAATTTATTGCTAGACGCGATCGCGGACAAAAAGGGAGGAGTTGAAATTGAATTATTCTTTCAAAGCATTAAGTATATTATTGATTTTGTTTTTCTGTTGGAGAATGCTACGTCACATTATATTTGTGGCATTTTAAGTCATTTATTCTATATCTGCAGCTCCTCTGTCATACCCGGCAGTGTTTCAAATAACTAGCGTTACATCATGGTCTGCCATTTTGAACTGGAGTAGCATACCTCCTGACAGTAACCATGCTGGGCCAGTCTCAGGCTATTTTATATATCGCATTAAATGCATTAGCGTTGGAGTGGAGAGTTCTGAGCTTATTCAAGTAGATGGCGCAAGTACCTTGAAATATAAAGACTCTTCTTTGTCACTATTCACATGCTATAGGTTTAGCATAGCGGGCTTCAACGAAGGGGGTACTGGACCCAAGTCCAACTGGATAACCGCTACTACTTTGGAAGAAGGTACATGATTAATCTTAAAGTAAAATGAATTGCAAGTTCTACAACAGTGTTTGTACCGATTTCTTCTTCAGAACTGTGCGTAATTCAAAAGTTCCCTCTGCTCGTTGAGTTATTTATAGTAGCGTTGTAATGTTTTATTTTTAGTTCCAAGCTGGTACCCATTAAAACTTACGTCTCAAGAGCTAAGCAAGACAGCAGTCAACATGTCTTGGGGAGATGTACCAGAACAGTCGCAACATGGCATAATTCTTGGCTATACCTTATGCATATGGAACGAGAAAACGTYATTATGTGATGAACATTTATGGTTTTGTAACAAAACACACTATGACGTCATTTCTATGACTTCTGGTGTCTCGTATTGTTTTAAAGTTGCTGCTTTCACCTCAGTTGGCTTAGGACCTCGAAGYCCTTGTGTTAATGTAACGACAAGAACAGGTGAGAAAATAACTTATAGTTGAAAGTAAACTTGTGAATAACAGTTTTTAAGGCGAATCTGTATACTTAATGCTTATACTTCTACATTGCATGTCTATCATGATTTACATGTTTTTTTTAAAGTTATATATGCTGTCATGTACGTTTTCAGCTCCAACTGCACCACCTTCAAATGTCACTGCTTACAACACAAGCTCAACATCTATTCGCATTGAATGGAATGCAGTACCAGAACGTCATCGACATGGCACTATTATTGAATACCTCGTAACGATTACTCAGTCGAATATAAACTACACTTACAAATCGATAAATCAAAGTCTAGATGTACATAACCTCACTGCATACACTGTATATAATATCACTGTCCAAGCCATCAACGGTGAGGGACCAGGCATGTCAAGCCCTAGCATTATGGTTTGGACAGATGAAGGTGGTAAGTATAAGAGTGCTGTACACCAACCAATCAAAACTGTACACCAAGTAATTGAATACAGACATGAAACATAACATGTTGCACAAAACAAACTTGACGTGGGTTTCTATTGTATATTTAAAGTTCCGTCGTTGGCTCTTTCTTCGTTTAAAGTAGTTGGTAAAGGAGCAACGGCGATTAAATTTTCCTGGACTGGAATCCCTGACTCCAAGATAAATGGTGTATTGAAAGGGTACAAGTTCTACGTAAGAAAGTGTGGTTCATCTAATGAAAGTGTTAGGACTTACAACACAAGTAGTCAAATTAGCGGGATTTCAATTGTTGATTTGAGACCCATGACGTGCTACAATGTCAGCGCAGCACAATTTACCGGGAAAGGGCCTGGGAAGCGAAGTGAATGGGACAATGGAAATACAACTGAATCAGGTATGAATAATCGCCTTTTTGAAGCATCGTGTAAATGCATGCTTACTTTTGAATTTGAATTTTGAGTGATATGCTTCTCTAGGCATACCTCAGTATTCTCTATTAACAAAAAAACCCAATTGGAATCTTTCTATAAGTTTGGAAATCGTTTGAAAGTTAGGAAAAGTTAAACATACTCGTATAAAGTACTGTTTCATCAGTCTCTATTTTTAGTGTGGTTAAATTCCATCACTTAGATCAGGTGCACTGAATCACAAAGTAACCTAAGTTGGCGGGGCAGGATTGGGTCTGGTAACTATGAAGGCTTTAATAGAAAGAGTAGTTGGATGAAAATTCAAGCTATAATCAGTTTTTTCTTGTTAACAGTTCCGTCTGAGTCTCCAGAGAACATTGCAGCATACAATACGAGCTCGACGTCAATTAATATAACATGGGGACAAGTTCCTGAAGATGATCGCAATGGTATTGTAATTGGCTTCAAAGTGGTACTAGTGAATGGTGAATCTAACATTACCATCTCAACAACCGTCGTAGATGTTTTAACTAAGCATCTGGAAGTCACAAACCTAGAGTATTACACGTTGTATTGTGTTCGGGTTTTAGCTTTTACTAGAGTAGGGAATGGTACCTTGAGTCCTTGTGTCATGGTCTTTACTGAAGAAGACGGTAAATACTATTAGCAATTATCACTATTTTTATTATCAGTATGAACAATAACGGTGTCCAGTCGAAAAAGACATTGTGTAGCTTGATATTTAAACCACGGCATATGCTAATGACTTTGTTGTTCTTTACAAGCAATATATATCAAGATTAACGTTGATATTAAAAAGTGGTCGATCTGAAACCACAATGGCAATAATAATATGTCTTGAAAAATCCAACAATTCCAATCGGTCACACATCCATCAGTCGTCTCCTTTACGGTTCCCTGTGCCATCTTGAAAGGTAGCCGTGCCTTTGGCACAGGGAACAGTGAAGGCCAGACTATTCGTCAATTATTAATATATAATATAGGTACATAAATAACCGGAACTTGCTGCATCCTGGCATGCTACAATTTATTACTGCTGCGTGTTTTTCATTGGTATATCTTTTAATATTGCAGTCCCATCCACACCACCAATGTCAATCACCTTAAATACTTCCTCTACTACGAGTATAGCTGTTACCTGGCAACCTGTGCCTGTGGAGCATCGCAATGGAATTGTCACAGAGTATAATATCCAGCATCAAATTTGCGACAATCTTAACTCCACCACAGATGTTAGCGCTCCTCAAGATGCAACCATGTTATCAGTTCCTGTCAGACCGTACACCTGTTACAAGTTGCGCGTGTGTGCCGTGACAAAGATTGGTCCCGGTGTCTATAGCGACTGGTTTAGCATCACAACACCACAAGACAGTAAGAATTAATCGTGTTTGTTTATGCTCGTGATTAGGAAATTCCTACTGCTGGTGGCAACCTCTTCTTATTTGGCTATAATTAGACTTCTAAATATTGCAGGTCAATATCGTTGTTTTCCGTTGGCAGATTCTTATCAGACCACGCCTGTAGTTTTAAGTGTTCGGTCCAATACACACATGTTGTCTGTCAAATATGCAGGGGGGGAACCCCTGACACGCTCACAATTATTATCAATATTTCGGCATTTGTTTTTTTTTAGATGCGAATATATCATACTTCCATAATTGTTTATAATGGTTTATGTGTCTGCCATGCGTACTAACTGTTGGCGATAACTTTATCAGGACCAGGAAATGTCCCGCAAAACATCGCAACTGAAGCCAATTCTTCCACATCAATCGCCGTAACATGGAACGATGTCCCCCCTGTCGATCAAAATGGGATTATTATGGGATACCAAGTGCAGTATACAGACGATTCCAACACCGTAGTCATCGTGAACACTACAGCAAAGGGCTATTACCTTAAGAACCTACAAAAGTTTACAGTGTATTGTGTTCAAGTGTTGGCGTTTACTATTGTTGGGGAGGGTAACTGGAGTTCATGTGTGAATCAAAGAACGAACGCTGATTGTAAGTATGAACTATCACCGCTATCTACGATGAACTTTCTCAACAAACATTTTTCTCTGTAATTCTGCAGTACCAGAAGGACCAATGTCGCAACCGACTGGACAAAACCTCAGCACCACAGCCATTACTTTGTCATGGCAGAAACCAGACAATAAAACCCTTAACGGTCTTCTACGTGGGTTTGCTATTTCCATTTACCGTTATTGGTATTCCGGGGGAATGGTGACYACACCTGTACGTACAGTTCTTACGTGTGCTGACAGCACTTCCAAGGTGATCGACAATCTATATGAAGGAGTCAAGTTCTGTCTTGTTATCAGTGCATTCACAGATGTTGGACAGGGACAGCCGAGTAACTGTTCTCATATAACGACTAATGAAGACGGTAAGTCATTCAACAGTCAGCGACATATGCGACTAGATATTGTTTTAGCTTTTTTGAGACAAAATTGCTTGCAGAATACACAACCACAAACTGAAATTGAAAACATTGTAACCCACTACAAAGCGTTACCATGACCCGCTACGAGAACGGGTTCAGAACCGAAAAAATCTTTTAGTGCTATACGTTAGGGACCCACGTGTGGCCGAGCGGTGAGAGCGCTGGCCTGTCACCTCTGTGCACCCTGTTCGAATCTCGGTCGGGGCGCCAAGATATGTGATTTGAGTTTCTTTCGTTCTCTCCCTTGCGTCGAGGGTTTTTCCGGGTCTTTTCCGGAATTTCCTCCCTCAGTAAAAACGAAGCATTTTTATTTGCTGTGCTCCGCGTTCAGTCGACGTTGCTATGTAATATAGCACTTCGACTTGAAAGCGAGTCTTTTGCAATTCAGCACCCGTGCTGCCATGAAGGACTATTAGCAACACCTTTTCCTTTTCCATACTAGGTTAGTTACAGCGGGCTGGCTGACCCGCCAAACCGCCATAACCGAACCCTCTTTTGTTTGCTGAGAAATTGCAAATTGAATTTAACAAATTGCTCACGGTTTTGAGCTGTATGTCCTCTTATTTAAGTAATGGTCCGAGTAAGAAGCAGGCAAGCAAACGRCAATGGAATGCRYGAAGGTGCTAATTTTGTATTGTATAATCCATCCATCTCATTGGTTAAAACATTAAAGTTTGACATAATTTCAAAAGTAAGCGCATTTTTAAATATTTTATTTAATATCTGATTCCGACTTCATAAAAGCTTTCCTTAGCTTTAATATTAATAGCAAGTCTATGTGGGGAACATAGCAAACTAGAAGCATTTTTTGGCTATTGTTTTGAGTGCTTATGATTGGACAAGATCTTTTAATACAATCAGCCAATCAGCGGGTGGGCGAGAATTTACACAAGTGTGGTAAAAAACCGTTAGAACAGGTTAAAAATAAATAAATAGACATAAAGTATTGTCACCAACCGGTTTCAGATATTGGTCAACCCTACACAAACCCTGGATAACGAACTTGCTGTAGCCGGTTAGTGTGCTAGTAAAGTTTTTAGAAGTTTTAGTGTTCGTCTCAGCCCGTTCCAGTGGGTTCAGTCTGATCTGCAAGAACAGGATGATTTTTTCATACTTTTGTAAGGTTTTATCTCGGACCCTTGTATCATTGTGGTAGTATGCTGATCTGTATCGAGCAAGCAACAGTATTTAGTACAAGGCATTTATATTTAGTTCAACTGTTTCTGATATTTTCTGTAGTTCCATCTGCTCCGCCAAGGGATATTGAAGTCTTTGCAACAAGCTCAACGTCTCTGCTAGTTTCCTGGAGAATTATCGATTGGAGTGAGCGCAATGGCGTACTTCAAGGTTTCACACTTGTGGTGCGACCAACAGGCATAGCAACTACTGCACCTGCTACAACACCACCAACAACAGACGAACCTGCTACAACACCGGCAACAACAGACGAACCTGCGACAACATTACCAATAGCAGCGGTGCCAATTGTAATATCACCAAGAAGAAAGCGTCGAGATTTGGATTTTTTACCATTAGAGACTGCCAACACTAGAAAACGCAGACATCGTCGCAGTGTAAACCCTACTGACATTGTTATCAACATCGTTGATCCTGGTATGCAGTCTTACGAGGTCAAAAACCTGGAAAAGGGTGTTGAATACTGCATCATCATGTACGGCAGAACTGCAGTTGGTGATGGAGTGAAATCAAACTGTCAAAACCGGAAAACTCCCTTGAAGGGTAATCAGGATTAATCAATGTTGTTTATGAAAAAATCATTAAAGTAAATTAAAACTGATAGCATTATATCACTTTGTTTCAGACGAAATCATACCTACTGTCAAAGCTCAAGCATCTGCTACGAGTATCAATGTTTCTCTTAACATCACTGACTTCGAGAACCTACGAAGTACCGGGTATTTGCAATACTATGACTTACAGTTTACAGTGCTTCGAGTAAATGGGAACCCTGTTCTGGATAAAGACGTCATCAAGAGAACCTTCAACGCCTCCACACAGCATTTTACTCTCGATAATTTCAATATTTACACGACATACAGCTTGCAACTTTCTTTGGTAACAAGGAGGGGAAGTGGGAGTCTTACAGATCCAGTCTACGTCGGTGAGTTTTAATCAGTGTAGGATTCATTTACTTTGAGACTCTTTTAATTGCGTAAGGTTCTACAATCAACAAATACAAAATACATTACCTACATAAAGTTACATTTGGRRACCGGTAAAACGAAGTAAAATTACATAAAACTTACCAAATCRTGAACAAATCCACACACAGAAATTACGCCAAACTGAATAAATTAACTAACTGAACGGACGACTAAATTGACTTACGAATACACTTGGGACATTACATAAACAGAAAAACTAATGAAACGTGAACGAAATGAAATAATTAAGCTTACACACCGGCCCCCGAAAGGCAGGTAAAGACCTGGCTTTCAAAAAAGAATCAAAACTAATTTATGAAATTATACAGTTTATCTAAAGTTCAGTGTTTCTATAGTTTTTGGTTGATCATTCAATTTGTCCTTCTAACAAAACCAGCTTCCGTACATCTCGATGTAGGCGCGTGGTAGCCGTTCTGACAATCACTTGACGCACAGTGCCGAAGCGTTCTCGCTTACTTTCAACCATGAACAATCCAACCTTTTTAAGGTGACTTCATTATTCTTGCAAAGGATAAACTTCTTGAATCGTAATAACCAAGATACTGCTTTCTGGAGGGCATACCAGGAGGAGTAACGATGCAGCAAAGCTGACAGACTATCTTCTTTCACTGTCGTAGTTGCACACGAATGGACGTCGACTCTCTTCAATTCTTGATCATTGGCCTGTAAAGTGGGCACCTTCTGTGATTGG